AAACAAATTCTGTAATGAAGATGTCAGAAATGTTCTGTAAATCTTCAAGGATTAAATTCTCTCAAAATGAATAATTTCCCTGCAAACTATTCTAAGCAGAGAGGACAGTTTGAAGTTTCAGATCTGAATGATAGATATTCAAAGGATATCAAGCATCTAATTATCAACAGAAACAAAATTTGTAATGTCCTTATGGAAGAGCATATTATTAAAGACAATGATGATATTTGAAAGATTTAAAATTGTTCCTTCCTACTTCTGAAATATAATATTTTCATAATAAATTAGAGATAGAAATGTAGGGGAAAATTCTGAAGTTCCTATCTCTATGCTAAATAGTTTGATCATGTGAAATATGAATCTCATACCTCATTAACCAAAACAGCATTAACTTGTATTATTTTCAATCCAAAATAAGTTTATTATTTCAGATTGAGGACAAACTAAAGACTTTCTACTGGTTGCAGAAAGTGAGGAGAGGGTAAAATTATAATTGATTAGAATTTTGAGATCAAAACTGTAATTTAGCTAGTAAAAGGAGATGTTGTGCCTAGAGTCATGGCAGATCTCCTAATATCTCAATAACTCTTAAGATTAGATTGCTACTTCCTGTGCAACAAAATTAACTAATACACAATTAAATCAATAAAGGACCTTCTACATTTTATGAGAACAGATAGTCCTCGACTTATGACCACAATTGGGACCAGAATTTCCATTGCAAAGTAAGGTGAGTCATGCCCAATTTTAAGTGAGTAATGCCCAATTTTACAAATTTGCAATAGATGTTAAATGAATCACTGCAGTTAAGTGAATCACAGGGTTGTTAAATGAATATTTCCACCATTGACTTTGGTTTTTGGAGGCGGGAAATGTCATAAATGATGATCACATGATGCTGGGGTGCTGCAACCATTGTAAATATATGCTTGTTGCAAAGCACCATTTTTTGATCACATGACTGTGAGGAAGTTGTGACATGTAAATGCAAGGTCCATTCATAAGTCACTTTTTCCAATAACATCGTGACTTTGAACAGTCACTAAATGAATGGATGCAAATCAAGGACTATATTTTTTTAACAAGTTTTTTATTAGATTTCCAGTTTTACATTTGAATATTTGGAAAGCAACGTTGTGATTGGGTTAGTCAATAATACAATAATAAAATCTTTAGTACATATCTCAGGTTACATCATCAAAAAATCCTTCTCTATTTCCCTTAACATTTGCTATATCATATTTAAGCTAGTAAATTTCTAATTATATCAAACTCAGTTAAAACATTTATCAGTATATTTTTGCTTATACATATCCATATTCTGTTTTCAAGTTTTACCTAATGTTAATATTTAATTGCAATATTCCAATTTAAACTTTAATATCCATAGTATTTAATTAAATTTCCTTTATTTCACTACATAAAAGTTATACTATCTAAAATACATATATTACTTACTTAAATATATTCTTATTTTATTTCATAAACATTTTCTATTACTCATCCTAATAAATCACCACAATAATGGAGTATCCTTTACCTTAATATTTAAATCTAATAATCAAATTTCCGCTAATACCACTAATAATAATAAAGTTAGAAGAGACCTTGGAGGTCATCTAATCCAACCCCCTGCTCAGGCAGGAAACCCTATACCATTTCGGATAAATAGCTGTCCAGTTTCTTCTTAAAAACTTCCAGTGTTGGAGCATTCACCGCTTCTGGAGGCAGGTTGTTCCACTGGTTAATTGTTCTAATTGTCAGGAAGTTTCTCCTTAGTTCTAGGTTGCTTCTTTTCTTGATTATTTCCATCTGTTGCTTCTTGTCCTGCCTTCAGGCGCTTTGGAAAATAGCTTGATTCCCTCTTCTTTGTGGTAGCCCCTGAGATATTGGAATATTGCTATCATGTCCCCCTTATCCTTCTCTTCATTAAACTAGATATACCCAATTCCATCAGCCTTTCCTTATATGTTTTAGCTTCCAGTCCCCTAATCATCTTTGTTGCTCTTCTCTGTACTCTTTCTAGAGTCTCAACATCTTTTTTACATCATGGTGACCAAAACTGGATGCAGTATTCCAAGTGTGGCCTTACCAAGACATTGTAGAATGGTATTAATACTTTGCGTCATCTTGATTCTATCCCTCTGTTAATGTAGCCTAGGACTGTGTTGGCTTTTTTGGCAGCTACAGCACACTGCTGGTTCATATTTAAATGATTGTCCACTAGGACTCCAAGATCCCTCTCACAGTTACTACTATTGAGCAAGGTACTCCCTATACTATACCTGTACATTTGGTTTTTCTTGCCTAAATGTAGAACCTTACTTTTTCACCACTGAATTTCATTTTGTTAGATAGCGCCCAGTGTTCAAGGCTGTCCAGATCCTCCTGTATCCTTAGCCTATCTTCTGGAGTGATGGCTATTCCTGCCAGCTTGGTGTCATCTGCAAATTTGATGAGTTCCCCATCTATCCCCTCGTCCAAATCATCGATGAAGATGTTGAAAAGCATTGGACCCAGAACAGAGCCCTGGGGCACCCCACTACACACTTCCCTCCATGTAGATGTGGTTCCATTAAGGACCACACGCTGAGTATGGCCGGTCAGCCAGCTACGGATCCATCTGGTGGTGATGCTGTCTAACCCGCATTTTTCTATCTTATCAAGTAGTAGGTTGTGATCTACTTTATCAAATGCCTTACTGAAGTCCAAGTAAATTATATCCACAGCATTCCTCGGGTCCACTAATTTTGTCACTTGGTCAAAGAATGCAATAAGATTTGTCTGGCATGATCTGTTTTTGACAAACTCTTCATCTCAAAATCTCCCTTTAGCCGATTAGTTGAAATTTTAGGATCTTCTCTAATAAATCAAAAGACCCCATTTTTTTAAATCTAACTTAGCTTTCTTTTTATGCTAACCAGGCTTCCATACCAACACTTTTAGATAATCAGATAAATCTCCCTTCATTCTTGTGCATGTTACTTGAATTAAAAGAGACCATCTAATTATCAATTTTCTAGAAAAACTGGCCCATTTATAATGATTAAATTGTCGCCCTGGTGGCTCAGATCCACATATTTGCTCTAGTATAATTGTCTTTAATTCAGTCTGATCTTCTTCTTCCTCAGATTTTGTCTGGTTTAAGTAGAAGGTATGTCTAATGTTATAGTTGTTTGATTGTCTAAGTTTTCAATACTTGTTGATCTTTAATGCCCTCCATCTTGGTATTACTTTCTTCCGCTTCTGTTGTTTTTTGAGTTGTAGGTTCTTTAGTTGCAATCAGGGTTTGATTGTCTAAATTTTCAGTATGTTGTACTTGTTGATCTTTAAAGTCTTCTGTCTTGGTGTTAATTTCTTTCGCTTCTGTTGTTTTTTTGGATTGTAAGTTCTTAGTTGCAATCAGGGTTTCGTTTTGTAGATTTAAGCTGGCGCCTTTGTCTCTCAGTCTAGATTTAATTATCTCAGTAGCTTCAAGAATTTTTTCAAGTATAAGTTTATAATTAGCCAAAATTTGTTGCTGGTCCTCCTCCATTTCTGACATGATTATAGATAGTCCTTTAGTGAAGGCTATTTATTAAACAAGAGTCAGTAAGTGTTCACTTTCACAGTTCCTATAAACCAATTTCACCACCCAACTGTTCTCTCAGCTTTTAATCTCTTTTAGATAATACCAAGGACAGATCTGGGTTATGAGCAGATCTCTTTGTCAAGAATATTCACTTGCTATACCAAGTTTTGCCACAAGATGTTCTCAATATCATTTAAAGTCTTTTTCAAATCCCAGGCTAGGTTTTTATCCAGTTTAAGTTCTTTTTCCTCTTTTTTACGAGTAGATAAAGCAGCAAGTCCCCGTGAGAACAGGAACTTTTTGGGTCCCCAAATATCAAAAAATGAAAATCCAATTATTTAGTTGTTCTTTTCAAGGCTTTATTTCCCCTAGGTAGTCAGACGCCGCCATTTTAAAGGGTGGGAGAAAAATGTTCCCTTCCCTCTCTCCTCACAGGGGGAAGAAATTTCAAGAAGTTTTTACAAGAAAATACTTGTGGTACAAAGAAGGTAAGATCTCACCCAATTCGTCCGTAGTGCTTTCGAAGTGCTTGTTAGTAATTTTGGCCTTGGCTCATAGCGGCATTAATGATAGGCCATGTTAATCACCGATCTTTTTCCTGCCAGTTCGAAGAGCTGCTCCCGATCAAACGGGAGGGCTGCTGCCCTTCTACGATCTCCAGGGAGACTTCCGACCCTTTTCAGGGTCCCCCAGTGGGAGAAAACCAGACGGCAGAGAGAGCGATTGCCCCGCACGTCCACTAAAATCGCGATCGCAAATCAGAACAAGATAGAAGGACTATCTTTATTGCCACAAATGTTTTGTCTCAAGAAGATCTTGAAAAAAAACAGCTAGGAAAACACTTCTTTGATTTTTTCAGGTATTCTTCTTGATTTCTCGCCTCAATTTTTACACTAGGATATTAATAGTGATCTAAGAGACACCTGTCTGTGCCTGGACTGGAAAATCAGATAATAATTGGTGGAAAGTGCAATGGTGAACTCAATTCTACCCTGCCATTGGCAAAGCTAATATTTGCAAGTCCTCTCTGTGCTGATGCATTGAAAAGCTATAATATCATTCCAAGCAAAGTGAAGCACAAGCTGCTTTGAAATAGAAAACACAAGGGAATTTATGTGGGTGGGAAAGCATATGTTGCCAGCTGGAGGAGGAAGTGGTATACCACATTTACTTCATAAGTGTGAGGTTTTTATAAATAAATTCTCTTAGGGATTGTTTAAAATAGACAAAAAATGACACACAGTCTCCAATCAGCCTATGTTGTTGTTTTAGAAAACTGAATGCATTCTGAAAATATTAGCATACTTCCTAGTTCTTTTTTTCTTTCTCTATCTTCTATTTTTAACTTCAAGCTCTTCCGAATTGTGGGCAGATTGGCATATAGTAATCCTCAGCCCATCCTTTATGAAATAAACATAAACTGTCTTACCTGGCAGTGAAAAACATACTCAGGAGTTGTTTTTTTGAATTTCATGTTCCAGACCAAGGCCACCCCATCAGGTTCATGTGGAGCATCTTCATTATTGTTATATGAAGCAACCATCAACTCAGGATACTGTAAAGAAAGTAACAGGCAATTAGATTTGGATACACCGTAATGGACAAAATGATGTATGCTGAGTAAAATCACATAAGCAGATAGGTCAATCCAAAAATCTGGCAAAAGATAGATAGAATGTTCTATAAAGTAGAAAATTTTCCTACATAACCAGATCTGAAATTAGGTGGACTAGTGATGAAAGGACAACTCGTGCCATATTGCCTTCATCAGCCAATTCACTCACCTGGTGGGAATTCCACATTCACATCTGCTTGACATATGTGGCACTGCCAATGATTGGTAAGTGGTTAAACTTAAGTGCATGTGTATACTAGAACTTTGCAAAGTATTCAGAAGAAAGCAAATACCCTTTCCTCAAAGCACAAAATAGATGAATCTTCTTATAGGGTTGACTGGCTACTTTATGGGCTTTCCCAATGCATGCTTATGCCCAGATGCTCTACTTCAGTGGAGCTTACAACAAATGTGAAGTCTGTGCAAATGGAACTATGTGGCCGGCTGCCTTCAAAGAAATATCTTTTAATGCAACCAAGCCAAACAGCTACTTTAATGCCTCAGGAAAGGTGCATTTTGTGAAGTGCACTCAGCCATTATATGTTTGTGTGTGTATGTTTATCCTACTTGGTGCAAAAATAAAAAAATAAAGAAAAATCATGGTTTATACTTGAAATTATTGAAACACACAATTATTGAAACTTCCAGTTCCGGATCGCGGCGCCAGCGGACATGCGAAGAGAGCGCTCTCTCCACTATCTGGTTTCCCTCCGTCGGAAGACCCTGGAAAGGGTCGATAGTCACCCTGGAAGGGCAACCACTACTGAGGAGGACCCTCGATAGATCGCGGAAGGGCAGCAGCTCTTTGATCCAAGGCAGCTCCTTTGGACCATCAACATGGCCGATCACTAAGCCATTCCAGCCAAAAGCCAAAATTACTACCAAGCAAAATGAAAGCAATGCAGAGGAATTGGGTGAGACCTTACGTTACCTTTCCTGCTTCTCAACTACTTTCCTGTAAAAAGCCTTTGGAAATCCTTTTTTCCCCCTTTTTAACTTGGTGGCTTCTGCCTACTCTGGAAATACAAAGCTATGGAAAACAGGAAAAAAAAAGAACAACTAAACTAAATGACTAAATAATTGGACTTGTAATTTTTGGATACCTGGGGTTCCAAAAGGTTTCTATTCCTACAGAGACTTATTATCTTACTTATCTGTTAAGCTGGAAAAAAAAGAATATTTCTTTTTCTTTTTTAAACTGGATAAAAGCCTAACTTGAGTTTGGGAAAAGATTTTACATGTTACTGGGAACATCTTGTGGCGAAATCTGGTAGAGCAAGTGAATTTTTTTTCTGACTGGGAGTCCTGCCAGACTAAGATTTGTCCTTGACACTATCAAAAAAGATAAGAACTTGAAACAGTTGGGTGATGGAAACAATCTTTATAGTGGAGGTGGACATTTATTGACTTTTATTAAAATAGCCTCCACTAAAGGACTATCTCTGAACACCACAGAAATGGAGGAATACTACCCACAACTTAACTACAAACTTATACTTGAAAAAAATCCTAGAGGCTACTGAGGTAATGAATTCCAGACTGAAAGATAAAGGTGCCACCTTAAAGCTACAAAATCCATCCCAGATCTCAACTGATGAATTTACAACTCAAAAGGCAACACAAGAAGAAAGAATTGACACTAAAGTGGACTTTAACGAATACCAGCTACAACCTACTCAGAACCCTGATGACCAAACCTTGATTTCAACTAAAAAATCTGCAATTCTAACAGCAACAGAAACTGAACAAAGTTACACTAAGATGGAAGGAGCTGAAGATCTGCTTACACAGCACATTGAGAATTTAGATAACCGAAACAACCAAACAACAACCACAACACTGAACATGACTTTTTATTTAAATCAGCTGAAACTGGAAGAAGAAGAACACCAGTCTGAACTGATGATAAATATACTAAGCCAAACATGGAGATTCAAATTATTAGGCCAACAACCTAATGACTATGAAGGGACTTGCTTCCTTGAAAAATTGATAACTGGATGCCCCCCCTTGATTCAAATGACATGTGAAGGAATGAAGGGAGATTCACCTGAGGATTTAAAGGCTCTGTTATGGAAGCCTGTTTAGCAAAAAAGAAAAGCCAGAGTGAGACTTAAAAAATGGGATTTCTTTACGTAACCTTTAATGGAGGAGCCTAAAACCTTATTTAATGGGCTAAGGAGATTTTAAAAGACATTAACTGGTTTAATACTTAGGATTTAGACTTATAAGGGAACTAAAAACTAGTTATAGAATAATAGTTTTGAATTATAATATAGATGATGGATTGAGATGATAAAAGTTGTTTTATAAGTAAGTGATGATATTAGGATGAGAAATAGAATACGACTGTGAAATAAAGTAAGAATTTATTTGACTAAATAATAAGTGTATCTTAGATATGATAACTATTTTGTAATGAGCTAAGGGAACCATGGGTTATCCGAAACCTAAATACTATGGACACTAAGCTAACTGGAATATGTAACTGAAATTAGATAAAAGTTAAAAACAGGACATGGAGGCGTATAAGTCAAAAGATATTGATAAATGTTTTAACTGATTGAGTTATAACTAGCAATGTATTAATTTGAATGTGATATAATAACCAAGGGAAACAGAGAGGGAATTTTTGATGATGTAACCTGACATATATGAAAGAGCTTGTTATGGATTACCCAATCACCATGTTGCTTCCTTAATACCTGGAGCTTTGTAAAATTGGAAAATTAATAAAACTTGTTTAAAAAAAAAGAAAAAAAAAGATATCAAATTTGGCTTCTACTGTATGTCACAGAGCATCCAGCTATGTATTCTTGAGAAGTCTGCATGAAAGAATCAACATCCATTCTCACTTCCTAGTAGCTGATACTAAGAGTATGCTGTCTGTGATACAGGAAATAATATGGAGTCATCAAGCATAATATCCATAGAATGATAGCTTGATCCTCTATCTAGCTTTTTAAAAAGCTATTTAAATTAATGGTCATCACCCCATTGGATTACAACATCTACATTTGCCCTTAAATTTTAGGCTGTGCTTGCTATCTATTCTTGACAAAATATTAATAGACTGTTGGAATTATACTATTAGAAGTTATACTAACCATTGTAAGCCATGCTAAGCCATTAAATACAAGACATGCAGCAAATAAATTTCATAAATAAATAATTTCTAATTTTATAAAGGAATTACCAGCTTTTCTCCAATAGACTTGTGCCTTTGACAGAAGCACAATAAAACAAACTTTGTATGTGAAGATTCAGTCACTTATCCATTTCCTTTTACTTGTTTAATGTTTGCTTGTCTTCCGCCTTATTAATCATAGGAATCATATTGCTTTATTTATATCTGTAGTTATTAAATATATTTCTCATTGTTTCCTGTTTTCACAATGTGAATAATCATAACTATCACTACACATTTCACTTGGTTATAATACCCAGAACATACCCAGAACATTTAGTAGTATATATTATAAGCACTAATATATTATACCGTAATGATAAAATAGTGATATATCCTTTATTTGCAGTACAACTCTGCATCTACATCTATATCTGAGTTGGTCATATATATGATTTAGGTCAAATATTGGACAGCTTTCAACAAAGCTTCATTTGATAACTGTCAGCAACAGAATAAAATGGCCACTTCAAGAATAACATTTTGGGCACATTAAAAAAATGATTTTTTTCCATTGTGCAATTGGTTGGTCTTATATTTTCTGCAGAGTCATATTTTCAATATTTTATATGTCAAGTATTATAACTGGTTGAGTGGCTTTGGATTTGAACCTTGAGTTGGGGAGGAAGTGCACTGTTCATTGGTCAAAGCAAAATATTTCAATAGGGCCTCATCAGATGGGCCTTGCAATCCAAAATAAATAGTGTATCAATAATCAGAGGCAGTTTGGAATGAAACTACATCAGGGAAATTAATGAAAATCAAAAGACAGGTTTTTCCCTGAAGTGACTATTTAGGGTGAAAGACTGGCTTTACATATGAAGATATTTTTTGATATTTCTACATTTATTTCTGATGATCAATAACATAAGTGCTTACTGACATTATATAATCTTGGTTAACAGAAGATTCCATTGTGTGGCTTTCATTGAGCTACTCAAGCATTGTAAGCACTATAATGTATGAGGCCATATAACTATCCTCAAATTGGCACTTTTTAATTATGATAGGATTACAGTTCCCAGTCAGCTTAATTATAATATTCTGGAAGTTGCAACATCTTTCTCAAACTACCAGAAAATGAAAGACTGGAACACATTAGAGTTTATTCTGAGTACATCTGCCTATTTAACTATAAATCTGAAGCATGAAACCTAGGGATCAGAAATGGCGGCAGTGAGAGTAGCTGAGGTGAACATCTAAGAGAGATAAGATCTGGAAGAAAAGGTGAAACAAGGCCACCCAGAACAAAGACACAGGAGACAAAAATACCCTGTATACTTTCCTGCCTGAGGGAATGAACAATTATATTTTGGCAGTTGCCTTCCAAGTTGGGCTTATCTTGCTGTTGCGGGAATACTATAAATGCTGCTTGTTAAAAAACTATCAGATAAGAATTCCATGTAATTCCCCCTCCCCTTGAATAGTCCAAGATAAGTTTTTCTTCAGGGTTGTTTCCTATTTCTGTGAAATCCACATAAGCCTATAGGCCACCCACATACTTAGCCATATCTATTGCAAAATGGATTTAATTAAAACACATGAATGCAAAAACCACTCTGGCAATAAAGATGAAGTTACATGCTATAAATAAAAATGAGCTTCAATATCTGCATTACTTCTCTCAAGCTAGATGCAGGTTTGCATTTCCTAGACCCAAAATAACTGATTCAAAATATAGCAAGGCTGTTTGTTATCTTAATATAGAGAGTTGACATGTCATATTTGTTTCTTTATATTAGCATCACAACAA